CAAGATTCGTGACATGATCAAACCTCATTGGAAAAGGGGGTCTATTGTTGAGGAGACTTTTGACCTTGGCCTCAACGAATTCCACCTGGAGGCAGAGCAGCAAGCCCCCATTCAGCTTGTGCGTATGTCGCAAACTGCGGAGGATTGAAGTTCATGATGTCATGGTTCATGGTTGCTAGAAGATTGGTGCTGGCGAAGTCCGAACTTTTAAAACATTTGTTTAAGAACTTAAGCAGAAGTGCCTTCTGTTGTTCCATCGTTGTGCTTGGAGAATCTGTCTTTGAGGCAGCAGACAACGACTGCTACGCAGTCACCGATGGCAGCGGCGTCCGACTGAGCCAAAGCCTCGGTCGCTGCCATGGGCGGGTTTGTGGGATGCGTTTCCGCAGCATCCCCAGGAAGGGCCGGTGCCAAAACAGCGAATGATAGCGAATCTGTTTGACGGTTTTAGGGCTTTTGGATGCGTTACTTTTATGTTCATGTGTAAGTATTTTGTTTAAGGATTAACTCAAAATACCCCAACCCCATTTCAGGTTCCAGATGGTTTTCTTTATGATATTGCAAATCAGATGTGAATTCATCAGTATTCATGATTCCACCATGATTAGGTCTTCTTGTTGCTCCGCGTGTGAACATCATCGGTGCACAGGCTGGAGCGCTCTCAAACTCCACACACTAGCAGTCCGTTCCAAAAACGACCATCAACTAGCAATGGCCTCCAACCTAATAGCGATGGCCTCCAACTTAATAACGATGGGTTCCAAAAAAGACATGTTGTTCAATGGAGTTGTTTTCGGAGTAGTTCAGTCCACCATACAGGTGACCTCTGTGGATGGTGGTTGGGGTCCACTGAGCTTGCGCAAGGTGCAACAGGCCGGCCTGGGAGTCTCTAAGACCTCCTTTCTAATCCTTCATCATCCTTTCCTTTTCTTTCAATTTGTCAGGTGAACCCAAAGTGAAACATGGTTAAGGTCAGCATCCTGGATGGTTCATAGTCATAGCCACTATCCAATTGGCTAGAAGTTTGACAGACAGATAGGCTGGGACGGAATTGTTTCTGTGAAAATGCACTGGACGCCCACGCTCGACTCAAGGCAAGCACTTAGGAGCCAGAGACTCGATGGGGGCTTTGTGTCCACCGGAAAAAGAGTCTTGTTCTTGCTTGTTGGGTCTGTTGCGGTTCCCCCAATTTCATAGTGGTAGCGGAGCCCGGTTCCGACCGGGCTGGTTTGGGTTCGACTCTTTTTCTTGGTGGTCACCAGCCCCCATCCCGTCTAGGTTTTTGAATGGCCGATAGACAGGCCATTCCACCTTCGGATGGCGACTTGGATGAGCCGCCAGGCGGCGGCTCGCCAGCTGCTGGCTCCACGGGGGCTCAGGGCGCGCAGGACGTTTTAGGGAGTGACCGGGAAGCCTTCGCTCGGTTCCAACGCTTTCTCCAGATGGAGAGAGAAGAAGGCCGCGGTCCGACACGTCATAGGCGCCGCCGTGAGCGAGAAGAAGAAGAAGGTGATGATAGTGGAGAAGGAAGAGGGGCTTCCGGACCTCCACCATCATGGGATGGACAGACCCCATTCGAGGACTATCACATCAAGGCTCAACTATGGATCGCGACGACCAAGGACAAGGCCAAGTCGCGAGGGCCTCTCTTGTTGAAGATGTTGACAGGAGCACCCTTCGAGCTTTACAAGCACTGGGCAAAAGATCCTGTTTGGCTCGGAGATCCACGAGGTGCTGAACGTCTTCTTGAAGACATGGATAAGCCTGAACGCTTCGGAGATGACCAGCAGGAGCACATGCTGACGGCCATGTCCCGCATCACCTACCACCTCCGGAGGCAGAAGACAGAGTCCTGGAGGGAATACTTCGCCAAGTGGGACAACGCCATTCGGAAAGTTCAACAACACAAGATCGTGCTTCCACCCGAGTATGAAGGCTTCTTGATGATCAATGGGCTGCAGCTGACCGAGAGCGATACCAAGGCCTTGCTGAATTACACCCACGGCTGCATCAAGCCCAGTTCCATCAAGAGCTGGTTGAGAAAGAATGAAACAAAGTTGTCTGCCTCAGAGCTTGGGGCCGACCGGAAGAAGGCAGCCGGCGCTTTCCACACTGAGTATGACGGAGTCTATGCCACAGAGGAGGTCATTGAGGGTAATGGCACCGACCAGGAGGAGATCGAAAACATCGAGCACTACATCATGGAGCTCCAGGATGAAGGGCAATCAGAAGAGACCGCCCTGAGTGAATCGGAGGCGGCCGAGATCCTCTCTACCTACCTCCAGCAGAGGAAGACCTATACTCAGTCGATCAAGGACAAGAAAACCAAGGAACTCGCCCGAGGCTATGGAGTTGGTCGACGACCGAACTTCAGTTCGACTCGGGGAGATCGAGACCGACCTCTACGACCAGGATCCTACTCCGTGACGATTGCCGAGCTGCAGAAGAGGACCCGCTGCCGACAATGTGGCCAGATCGGCCACTGGAAACGAGATTGCAAGAATCCTCCCATGAAACCAGGCAGCTCCTCATCGATGGGCGCATCTCGAACGAACGAGACCCACCTTTTGGAAAACACACCCGAGGTGCATTTTGTGGGCAGCCTGGAGACGGAAGAGTTCATCGACAAGAACCTCTCCAGCAATGTACCAACCAGCTCCTCGCCTTTTGAGATGACCCGGACAAGAACACCTGAACCGCGCATCCTGAGGACTTCAATCGAAGGCCATGCAGACTGTACAGATGTAGCTTTTGCCTCGAACCACTGCTCGACCGCTCGGTCATATACGGAGAGTGACATGGTTTTGGGTTTGGGAATAGGTGAGAACGGCCATTTGGGTGTTAGCAGTTTGTTTTTCTATGAAAACATGTTTTGCGATCTGGTATCCCAGTACTCCCAACTAACCCCCGACGACGCTACCTGCGCCACCGTTGACACTGGATGCCAGAGATTGGCAATTGGAGCAACGACCCTGAGGAAGTTCAGTGAACATCTACCACCTGGCCTGAAGATCACCATTCATCCCGAGACCAACAAGTTCAGGAGCGTCCACAAAACCTCGATTACCACCCAGGTAGCCAGTGTTCCCAGTTCACTGGGACTGAAAGGCAGTCTCCTGAAACCAGCGGTCTTCGACAGCGACGAGAGCACCAACGCACCGTTCCTCTTGTCCCTCAGCTTCCTCCTTCATTGTCATGGTGATATAGGGTTGTGTCTTGAGAAAGGTCTCCAGCTCCGACTTCGCGGGAACCACGAACCAGTCCCCTTACATCTTGGACCGACCGGAGCCCTTCGAATTCCACTTCAACAGTTCACGGAACTCCAACTGACTGCACTTCAACGAGCCCAATCCGAGCAGTTAGGAACTTCGCTCCCGGAATTCGAGGTCCTGAAATTGAACGAACAGTGCATGAAACCGCCGGAGCCCAACAGAACTCAAGACATCCCGGCATCGATCTCATCGGTTTCTTTCGCCTGCCATGCAGAACACCGGCCAGAAGCGCAGCCGACCTGCTCCACCGGAGACCTTGAATCCGGAGGACAAGGCTGTGAAAGCCTGGACCCAATTGACTCGTCGGCTGCTGGTTGTGCTCATGCCACTGCAGTACCTGTTCGAACATCTCTTGGAGACCATCATGGGAGCACAGTCCCAACGCCGAGTTCTGACACGCCTGATCGAGAGCATGTCCGACGAGGACCTCCACCACGTGACCAAGATGGCCAAGAACGAGATGAAACGTCGTGTCGAGTTGTCGGACAATTTCGTCATGATCAGCGATCCGGAACAACGCTCGGACGGATCCCAGAAGAAGGTTCTGAATGCGACCTTGGTGAGAACTCAGCGCTGCGACCAGATCGACAGCCTACCAGGCATCGATATGCTGACCGGACCCCGACCTCGCTGCCGATGCGGCCTACAGGTGAAGATTTACCTGAGTACAGAGACCAACCACGAGGAGGAGATCTACTTTCGGTGCCCGAAGTACCCGGGACAACAGCGCGAGTTCAAACAATGGACCCCATGCCAGCCATTGAAAGATGTGACCAGCTGGAAATACCGCCAACAACCAGGCGAGAAGCCCAAGTCCTATGCAGAGGTGCTGGAGGGAATGGTTCAAGAAATTTGTCCACACTCATCAACTCATCGGAAGGGATCCAACGCCTTCCTGACCAAGGTGACCTGCCGCTACTGCAACAAGGTGATCCGGCAAGAAAAGAAAACTGTGGTCACGGAGACGGCTTCTCCCAGCAGTCCTTCAGAGGCACCACCTTGTCCGCCAACTCCAACGCCAACATCACCTCAGGAAGGAATGACCGAACCGGAGGACTACCAGGACTTCATGGACTTCCTGCGCTGGCGCCGAATGAAGGGCCCTTCAAGCCAATGACCCCAAAGCTTGAAAGAAAGCTCCGGGCGGCCTTAAAGAAGGCTGTGGCTTTTTGGAAACAGATCCAGTACATCCTCGCAGAAACGCAGGATGGAGATGCGAAACTGCGAGACTGGATTTGCAGCTTTAATGATGAACTTTGCAAGGAGTTTACTCTGCACCCTAACGGATCGAAAAGGACACATCAGATTGCTGAAATCATGGGACTTTCACATAAACAACTGAGAACTGTGGCTGAGATCTATAATCCCGGTTGTTTTGGAGAAATTGCGCACCGCTTCAACCTCAATTCTGGACGTGCTTTTGACTTGAAGTTGGATTGCGATTTGTTGAAAGCAAACAAACGAAACGAAGTCGTGCAGTATGTGAAAGACGTTAGGCCTGGACTGGTTTGCATTGCACCACCATGTGAAATGTACTCACAGTTGCAAAACCTGTCTAAAAACAAACGAGAACGAGTTCCTGCTCTTCTCCAAAAGTATTTAAAGAGGAAGTCGGAAGGGGAACAACTTTTGTTGTTTGCTCTGCAGTTGTGCGAATTGTGCGATCACGTGGGCATCAAGTTCCTTTTGGAACATCCTCACGCTGCCTCCTCCTGGAAACACCGTGCCATGGAGCAGCTCCTTTCCAAACCGAACGTAGTGTACACGAAGGCAGACCAATGCCAATACGGACTCCGTGGAGAATCTGGCCAACCCCAAAGAAAACGGACTGGTTTCGCCACCAACAGCCCCGAGATCGCCAAGGCCCTGAACGCTCTATGCCCTGGCGACCATCAACGTGAAGTCATCATTGGTGGCAACAAGTCCAAGAAAGCACAGATTTATCCGGAAGGTCTTCGGGAAGCCATCCTCGCGGCCTACTCACGCTCGATTGGAGCTGAGGTAGGTATCATCACCTCTGAACAAATGTTCCTGGAGAATGATCGCCTGAACTCACTACTGACAGTGGAACTACTGGTTGACTATGAACTACACCCAGGACATCGACCAGACGGAGATCAGGGAACTACGCTATATGCTCCACAAGTCCCTGGACATGAACTTCACCTAAGCGAAGCCGATCCAGGACGATCAGATCAAGTCGAAAGCGTTCTACCTGGTCCAACATGGGAACTACATGCTGAAGAACCACGAGGTGAGGATGATGAAGGAGACCATGAACCGGAAGGCGATGAACAACCAAATGCACCACTACCTCTGGAACGTCGATTCACTATGGACCGACTTTTACATCGAGCACATGTCGGAATGGGACATCCAAGCCCGGACCGATTTGCCCGTATACTTAGGTATGCCAAGGCAAAGCCAGAGGTCATTGAGGCAGCAAAACGACTGAAATGTAGTGTCTGTCAACGACATGCCCAAGTTCGACCCGCACGACGGAGTGCGCCGCCCAAGGAACTCAGCTTCAACGAATGTGTTGGAGTAGATGTGGTCTTCTTGCCAACTTTGGGCAATCGCTCTAGGCCAGCACTCAACGTGATAGATTGGTCAAGCAAATTTCAACTCATGATCCCCTTGCCCAACAAGAAACCAGGACAAGTTCGAGAAGCCTACAGACACTGGCTGAGATTGTTCGGACCTCCAAAAAGAATGGCTCTGGATCTGGGACGTGAGTTCCGCGGTACCTTCGCCGAACAAGTTGAACAAGATGGAACCTATATAGATCCAGCGGCTGTGGAGGCACCACATCAAAGAGGCATCACTGAAAGACATGGAAAAACTTTCAAATACATTCTCGAGAAAACCATGGACACCTACAGCTGCGGGAACATGCAAGAATGGGAAGAAATGGTAGACCTCACCACCATGACAAAGAACCGTATGATGAACGTGGGAGGATTCAGTCCATGTCAACGTGTTTTGGGATTCAACCCATTCCTACCAGGAGGGCTACTAAATGGAGATGATGGACATCGGACTCGCGAAGATGCTCCAGCATTGAAAGTCGGCGACCTTAGCGTCGAAAGATCCATGAAGCTTCGGAAGGCTGCAGCTCAGGCTTTCATCGAAGCCGACGCCGACAACGCCCTGCGGAGAGCTATTTCATCAGGACCAAGACCGATCCTCGATTACGACATCGGCGAGCTCGTCTACTTCTATCGAATGGGAGCGGACAAAAAGCTCAAGTTCAAACCTGGATACTGGCAGGGACCAGCTCGCATCATCATGATCGACCAGCCCAGCACTATCTGGTTAGCGTACCAGTCAAATCTAGTCAAGGCAAGTCCGGAACGCATTCGGAGGGCATCATCCGAAGAGAACATGGCTCTCTCCGGTTGGCTTGACGACATTGTCAGCATCAAAAAGGACCTCCATACGGAACCTGTTCGAGGCTTCCTTGACCTCTCTGACCAACCTCTACCTCCTGAACTGGCCGATGGAGATCTAGAAGATATGGACTATGAGCCATCCGAACCTCCTGAAGATGAACCGATTGCACCTCCAATGGCTCCAGGACTAGACGGACTTCAAGAGCCTCTTGGTTATCCACCTCCAGCAAAGAGGTATCGAACAAAGGCACCACAGGAAAACCTTCCTCAACTTCCTGCAGCAGAAGATCTGCGAGAACAAGATCATGACGAACTTCCTGCTGAAGAAGGACCAGGAGAACAACTAGAAGAACACCCCACCATAGACGAGAACAACAAAAGAGAATTTGATGAAGGAGAACCACACGACCAACCGCCTTTGAAACGGCTGAGGCATGAATACCTGGAGATCTACCTGAACAAAGTGGACAGCCTGATGAAAACAAGACAGAAAAAGGAAATCCGCTTCCAGGAACTCAGCGTCAAGAATCAAAAATGCTTCAAGGCGGCAATCAGCAAGGAATTCAACAACAACATCAACATTGGGGCATACTCCATTGTTTCCCCAGAAGAGTCAGCAAAGGTTCGACAAACTATGCCACACCGAATCATGGAAAGCCGATTGGTCCTCACTCCAAAACCACTGGAACCTCATGAAGTCGAACCAGCCAAACAGGAAGGGATCCTTCTCGACTGGGATTCTGAAGAGCCATGCAAGGCTAAGGCCCGACGCGTGATGAAAGGATTCAGTGAAGAAGGCTCCGAGGACATCGAGGCAACAACGCCTCAGGTTACCAGAGAAGGGACTCTCATGGTCGCCCAACTGGTGGCAAGCCATCGTTGGAAGCTCGGCTTCTTGGACTTCACCCAGGCATTCCACAGTGGAGACGCAATTGAACGACTTCTTTATGCAACTCCACCTCGTGAAGGTATCCCTGGTGTCGCACCGTGCCAACTCCTCAAACTCGAGAAGGTTTGCTACGGGCTGACTGACGGCCCACTGGCATGGTACAATCATCTCAAGAAGTTCCTGACCAGCCAACTGCACTACCAGCAGTCGTTAGCAGATCCATGCATCTACTACAAGCATCGGAACTGTCCAAACACTGGTAAACCGATCCTCAGCGGCGTCATTGCAGTCGCTACGGATGACCTTCTACATGGAGGTGACGACGAACATCAAAAAGCTATGGACCAGATCAAAGTGAAATATAAGCTTGGAAAATTCCAGTATGGATCAGGAAAGTTCACTGGAAAAATGTTCACTCAGCAAGAGGACTCGAGCATCATCGTGAACCAGGAGAACTACGTCCAGGAGAAGCTCTTTGAGATCAACCTGGAAAAACAACGAAAGAAGAAGAGATACACCTTTTGTGACGACAAGGAGATCACCCAACTACGAGCCAGCATCGGCGCCCTTGCCTGGCTTGCCAAGGAAAGCAGGCCCGACTTGGCCGGAAGAGTAGCTCTGCTTCAGCAGGTCTTTCCCAAGCCTCGTATCAAGGACATCATCGAGGCAAACTCCATCACTCAGGAGGCTCGAAGACACCCCTCAAGCGGCATCAAGATCATGCCGATCCAACCAGAGAACCTGCGAATCGGAGTTGCAACGGACGCATCATGGTCCAACGCCAAAAGCCAGGATCAGTTGGAAGTTAGCTCACAAGACTACTGGGAAGAGAAATCCTCACACTGGATTCGACATCATGTCACTCCCAGAAGAGTCCTATTCCATCCAGGAGCCGATCCAGGACCAGATCTTCACGATCTACAACCAGGTCGCAGAACGATGACTACAAACGAAGAAGCCCTAGAAGATGAATGGACAAAAGGAAATAGTGTCCGAACTTGGACGGACTCACCTTGGACCGGAAAGACCATCTTCACAAAACAGCTTCCTGGACACGCGTTGGAACATGGAAAGATCAATGACACCTTCCTCAAGCTCCTCAATTGCAGCAGCCAAGGAGGCTATGTGATGATCTTTTATGACAAGAGAATGGAATCCGAAGATCGACCTCACATGGTTTCCGTGACCTCATGGAAATCAACAAAGCTCAAAAGGAAGACAGTCAACACCCTGAGCGCAGAATGCCAGTCGCTGGTACATGGCATTGGCCATATACACTGGCACCGCTACCTCCTCCTCGAACTGATGGGCACGACCATGGAGACCAAGGACTGGGAGCGGCATTTGGCATCCATCCCCTATGTCTCCGTAGTTGACTCTCGGTCGCTATACGACTGCATCAACAAGCTGGTGTGTACCTACTCTCAAGTAGAGGACAAGAGAACGGCTATAGACATAGCCATACTAAAGGATGATCTCTATAGATCAGGGGGTTCCCTACGTTGGGTTGCTGGTGATAACATGATCGCGGATCCCCTTACTAAGAAAATGAACTCGGATTTCTCAGGTGTGTTTGCAACAGTGGTTACTGGTCACTCTCCGAAACAGGCCATAGAACACAATGCACCACGCATGACGTTCTCTTGGTCTCGCTTGGCCGTTAGAGTAGGGCCGGTGTGAAAATGCACTGGACGCCCACGCTCGACTCAAGGCAAGCACTTAGGAGCCAGAGACTCGATGGGGGCTTTGTGTCCACCGGAAAAAGAGTCTTGTTCTTGCTTGTTGGGTCTGTTGCGGTTCCCCCAATTTCATAGTTTCAGAGACGAAAGAGACAAAGAACCTGAGAACACATGATGCGGTTTAGCCAGTCATTGGCCCCCTCGAAGGCTTGAAAGTTCAATCACATTTCATTGCCAATCTGTAGCTTGTCAATGTCAAGCCTTGAATGGCAGTGTATCACCTACGTATCACGACAACAAGGTGTAAACATGAACAAACTCGTGTGCCAGTCCTTTGTGGCTCAGATTTCCCAACGTGCATGATGTTGACGCTGGGTGGGAGTTGAAGACTATGGCCTGAGTATAAAATAATGTTCCTGGTTCCTTCACTGTGACCTACATGTTGCAAGCCTGAGTTATTTGAGTTGAGGTTTTCCGCATGGGAAGCACATCTAGGCTTTTGGCATTTTTTGGCTTTGCTTTTGAGGTCCAGCGGCAATCCCCAAACAAGGGCGGCAAGCTTGCCAACAATAAGTTACAGGGTAAGTGGGCCAGGCTTGGAGACCACGGGAACATAAACTGGCAAAATTCAGCGATCACACGAGCGCTTCTTCGACTTCTATATTTTCCCACAAGCCACAAAACTGCTGTGATGTGCTCAGAAAGCCATTAATGTATGCCAATATGACATCTCCTTTGTGACATAGAACCAGGTAGCTAGCTTTCATTCATCCCCATGGCCTCAAGTGAACATCCGCTCAATTATATACATATAGTAATATAGTCGCAAGCCAAACCCACAGGACAAGCCTGTCCCAGGGTTGTTGGTGACTGTTCGCCACATCATTTCATTGCAGCTCAAGTCCATTGAGCTTCGCTCCTAGCAATCAGCCATCCTCCAAAATGATGGAATTGTGGATATTGAACATCAGCTTCGCTAAAATGCATCCATGCTCTCTCCTGAGTGCATCCGTGCATCTCCACGCCGAACTCAGCGTGATCGAATGCAAGCAGTTCTTTTGCTTGCAGGCGGTTTCACCGAGAACCCTACAATGTGAAGAAGTTGTAGAAGCTGGCCCAGTACCTGGCAAATGGTCGGGGCACCCATTCAGAGATTCATGACACGGCTAATGATGCAGGTGTATTTGCCAGCACTTGTTTACCAAGACTAATGATCAGGCTTGGCGATGCCGTTGATTTTACCATCGATGGATCTTCTGAGTTCATTGTGCAAGTGCCAGAGCCCCAGAATGGGAAGGCGGTCAACACCAATTCACCAACAAGCAGCTGCTAGAAGTGGAGGTGTTCTGGCAAAGACAAGCAAATTATATAAGCAAATCCGATGGACACGATTTTGAACGATTTTGACCTAGGACCTAGTCATACCTAGTCGACAATCTGATAATCTGATTGTACCAAAATGAGGCATCGAAGAGATTGGAGGGCGGATGCCTTTGTGCTTTGCCCAGTCCAGTTTAGCAGTGGAAATTGCGCAATCTCTCGATGACTGGACGCCACTCGACCCAGAGCACTCAGAGGCCCACGCATTGCAACGAGACACGGGTGATGGCTGGGAAGGATCACTCCCTGGGTTCTTCCCTCAGCTCGACATGCAGACATGGAATGACGCTGAGACCGTGCAAGCTCTTTAAGGACCGAAGGGGCGCAGGATGAAGCTTTGTCCTCAGTAAAGTGCAACTTATGGTCTGGTTATGTCTAGTTAGTTAACGCATGTTTGTGCATACTTTAGGACACTGAAGAAACAGTCAGGCTAGATGATGTGTGCCACACATTTTGCAGCCTTCAATATCTTCAGTACCTTCACATCGAATGCAGGGCTTTTTCATCGAGGTTCAAATACCGCTGGGCCCTCGCTTTTGGAGCCAAAAATCTGTGCTGGCTCCCAGAGATTGTGTTTGAGCAGTTTAACATAGTTACATAAATTAGTTGCCCAGTTCGCAAATGTCGAAAACGGCACCGGCTCACCCGGCTCAGCCTGTCATGCTGCAACCTGCACCTGTTTTTCAACGATGTGCAGACCGCGAGCTTAGAGCTGAGAGTTTCAGGCAAGCTGAAGAAAGATCTGGGAAGCCCTGCGTACCTTGAGACCGTCAGAGAAAGACGATCAGAAGCCAAGGCTAGTTCTCTATGAGCTTCATATCGGTAGCTTCACCAGTGACGGGCTTAGCCAGTCCTAAGTTGACCTTCTTGGTTTGTCGGAGCTGCTCAGGAAGTGGCACCCTAAGAGAGGCGACCGAGAAGCTGAGCCATATCAAGGATTTGGGTCATGAGCTCAATTCGACTGACTAGAGCTCAATGACTGAGCTACAAAAAGTGTGACTGAGCAACTAACGTTGTTCCTGAGAGGATGCTGTATAATCTCTACGTGGCCTGCTTTCGTGTGAGGTTGTACAGCAATTTCCGTTATGCCCGAGCCTATGTTGTCAGGAAGCAGCTTTGGTGCATAGCTGAATCCAATGTGGGATCCGACATTTCACAAACAACTATTAACTATACATACAAATGTATATGTAGAGAGAGAGAGAGAGAGCGCGATGTTCAAGAGTGAGTGAGCCCAGGCCACTTCATCAAGACGCGCTTGGCCCCAAGGTTTAAGTGCACAAGCTATGACGCAATGCACCTTCAGGTGATCAGGCCTTTCGCCAGCAACACTTGATTGGTTTCGTCCACTTGATCTATGCCAGCCCCAGATCAACATTTCTCAGCAATTATGCTTGAGGCGGCGTCTCAGCAGTGGTGAAGTTGACCGCTGGGGTCATGGCCTGGGCGTTGAATCTCCAGCACAGAGAGAGAGAGAGAGCTTGAGATAAGATATGCTATGATGCTTTGGGTGTTCGGTGGAATTGATGTAATTATACTTGTTTGGACCCTTTGATGATCATAGCCTTGGTCCAGTTTGTTATTTATAGCTTATTCTCCAAGCGGTCCGGCAAAATGGCCATATCAATGGTGCCTTCTGGTCACTGAAACAGCTATGTACTAGTTTGCGTTGCAGCAATGACCTCCCGATCCTCCAAGGCTATGATGTGATATCCTTCGTTGCCGCCGCAGCCCCTGCGATTTGCTGAAAGCAGATGGAGATGAGTATGTAACTCCAAGGGTTCCAAACAGTTTTACATTTGCATTTGCTTTGCATTTATCCCAACAGGTGTTGCCTCTATAAAAAATCTTCTGAGGTGGATGGTCACTATGGCACGCTGGATGATCTCTTGCGCTTTGTGGAAAAGGCGCACACGTCCGAGACCCAGGGCTTCAAGAGGAGAATGCCCAGCTTATTGTTTTTTAAGCTTATGTAAAACTTACAGTATGATAACTTATGTAAATGATGTTTAAGTGCCAGTCACCAATTTGTAAACGACGAGGGCCACGTGTAGTGACGTGGATTTACATATATCTATTGAACCGGTTTGAACTGGGTGGTTTGTATAGTATAGTGGAAGTATATATGGAATTAGATCTCTGAAGAGACGCTACTAGGAGCAAAGGGCATCGCTACTAGGAGCAAGGACGCTACTAGCATCGCTACTAGAAGCAACGACGCTGCTAAGAGCTTTTTGGTCCCAAGCGTCGCTTGACTTTTGAGACGATGTTCACTGGAAGGCTCAGATTTCGTGGTGGGTGCATGAACTGTACACCTCGTACAATGCACTCCTTCGTGATGAATTTGGTGCAAGCCTTGTTTTGAGAGCTTACCATCATGACTAGCTGAGGTTCCGCACCAAAGACTGGTTTTGAGAACGTGTTCCTCTTGCTGCTCCTTCTACTAATGCTCCTTCTGTGGCTGCTCAGATTTCACTGCTGCTGGTCCTTCTCTTGCTCTTGCTCCTCCCTCCCGAGCATCACACTCTCCAGGGCTTTTCAGATTGCGATGGCAAGCTTTGGCGCTGTTGTATTTCAAACTGAGATCTCATTGATTCTCAATGTATATAGCTAAATCTTTAGACACTCGGGGCACAAGCTCCTATGCAGTTGGACAGAAACCTGGACTTGCCATCGTGCCTACATCAATTAGTTGAAGAAGTAAAGCTAAAAATCGAAAAAGACCGCAGGACCACAAGGACCGCTCAGACAAAGAGCTAAGGCTTAAAGAGACGGTCCAACCTTACATTGAAAGGAAGATATCAAGTGTTGCAGCCGCTTAGCATTTTTGGGTCTAGATTCAGACCTCTTCCGGGAAGGAAAGCGGGTTTGAAACATGCAGAGTATGTGAAGAGGCCCGAGAACACCACGAAGAGATACACTGGCAGTAGTGTCCCTAAAAATCTAGGAACCAAATCTTTAGTGTGAGCGCTTCTTCAAGAAAGCGTGAGCTATCCTGCGTCCTAGCTAGGAGCTTCCTATTGCTAGTAGCGTGTTTACTTACAGTACTTGATTAAATAGGAGCTGGCAAAAAAAGATCAGAAGAGGAAGAAAGCAAACATCATACAATGCTATGCTACACATCATACATACATACTGTGTATGTAATTGTTGGCATAGTTTTTCAGCAGTCCCGGTTTCTGGAGAATTCATTCATCGAAGATGGAGGTCCAGACATCATTCTTTGTGAAATAAATTGTGGCTGATTCAACCCATCTCTTTTTGATTCAATTAACCCCGGATTAGGATGGAATAGATTTTGTGGTACCTTAGAACTTTAGCTGAGTCAACCTTGAGTTGCTCGGCACAAACGCTTTGAATACAACAGATGCATATCAGAAGATAAATCCCACCAATGGCGTGGTTCTTTGGCATGTTCAAGGGCCAACCGGAATTCTTCACGGAACAGGTTTCATGGGCCACTCAGGGCCAATCCGGTATTTGGCCATGTTTGCATTTTGGCGCAGTTGGAGTTCTTAAGTTTGTGTCAATTAGGGCCCTTCAGTTGAGCATGGTGAGAAAGACCCAAGTTGTAGACAATCAGAGAAAACAACTACACATAAGTCGTGAGAGATTAAGACCCTTTGGGTCTCAATAGCCTGAGACTTGAGGCTAGGAATGGCAGTTTTCATCGACTTCGTGTTCAATCACATGATGTGGGGCGCGGAGTCTTGGAATTTGTTCTGTGACTGTTGCTTTAAGATTATGGGCTCTTAGGAGAACAAGCCTTTGAAAGAGTTGTTAGATTCTGTTAGATATCCTGTGTGTGTCTTTGGTTTTTTGGAGGGAAAGGGGCTGCAATGTTACCTTTTTCCGCCGACAACTGATGCGATATGCTTTCAGGTGCTACATATTTGTACGGACCGCAGCTCTTCCAACAAGAGGCAGATCTAGGGCACCAGCTGTCGAGAGTTCAACCATATACTAATATACATGGTCAATAGTCAATGGTGAATTTTGCTGATTTGTCATGGTTTATCAGAAATTGAGCAAGATGAACAAGTCTCCTGGAAGGCTGAACATCAGAGCTCGTGTTTCCAACGTTTCCAAGATCCTTCTCATTCTCAGTCTGTGCTGTTACTACACTTTAGCAGCTTGAGGGATTCTTGCATGTTGCACAGAGAGCTCGCTGCTCTTGACATCCACACTGCGACACGTATTTCAGGAAACCCATTGGGGTCCACGCCCGGATTTTTCTAAGCCAGAGGCCGGGGCAGTTCATAAAACGCTTCGAGTGCGTTTCAGAGCAGAAAGTAACCGGTTTGGCATCGAAGCGTTGGCAATCATACTGTTTCAAGTCCTTGCTTCTTATTGCATCAAACAAGCAAGGAGCAAGCGCCCAGGTGCAGAGATACATTCTAGCTGCCGCTGAGCTCCTGCTGCAACGTGAGCTGCTGAGTGTGACTGCATGTTTGATGCGTTGTCTTTTCGCTGACCGTTCCGTGCGAACGATGACTTGTTCTGATTCTGCCAGCTTGAACCACAATCTTACAGCACTTGTCATTATCAGGGGCATCTTGCTGTTCAAGTCTTTCTGTTCAAGGTATTGGCGTGGATGGCATTCGTGTTGACTCTACGAAATCCATCCGAAAGTTTCCAACAGGCCTAGTGTTTCATTTGCTTTGAGGTTCTGCAAGACTACTTACACCTTGGATTTCTTGAAGTCGGTGTTGCATTAATCTTGTGGAATTATGCACGTTTCTCATTGTTTCGTCTCACTGCTTCTCCTGTTCTGTTGGATTTGACATGTCTCAAAGCTGCCTGCCTCCTGGTCCGAAAACAGCTGTCAGGCGAGCAGGACACCTGGGGTGCCATCTTGCTGGCAGAGCTTGCAGCTCTTTGCAGGTGCTGTCCCAGAGACCCTCAGCAGTGAGTTTGCTCTAAAGGGATCTAGGAAGTGTTTTCGAAGCTGTTTATATTTGGGGACCTCAATGGTAACGTAAGTTGTTTATCCCCGATCTTTCCAATGGTTCAACCGGCGTGAAGCTGAACTTCTTTTTCAACCAACTACCTTGAACAAAGGTGAAGCTCCATTGCCTGATTGAAAGTGCTTCAAGATTGTGCATGCATTGAATCTCATCTAAAGCCTACATGCAATCTTGCTTGCACACTGTTCTTTACAGGAAGGAAGGCAAACTTGCATTGCCCTCAGCTTCCAGCACACTGATGTACTTGCAGACAGATGTGGTACCCTTTCAGCATCGCCAAGTAATCGTCCTTTGCAATTGATGTTATATTGCACCCATTCGACCTTTCCTCAACATGTTCAGAGAGCTTGGACCGGACGACTTGCAGCTTGACATAGTTTTTTGATGAGGCCATTGCTGAGGACTTGGAGGATGGCGACGGTCTTCTGCAGCAACGGCCTTTGGTTACACAGTTGCACGTTTCGTTCAGTATCCTAGATTGAGAGTTCAAACAATTTGGAGAAATGGAGAAACCATATCAGTTGGACCATTTATCCATAGAATTGCCGCAGATTTTAGTCGGCTTTGCTGATGACATGTTTTCCCCTAACAATTGCAACCACTCCAGGTGGGGTGGCATTGGATTCCACCTGCAATGGGATATGGCGCTCTTTTGCTGGACGGGGTTCTAAACGTTGACTGTGAGGCGACGGTTGGAGGTAGATTGGCAAGTACTTGTACCTGGTACAATCCTTGGCAATCCAACTTGGCGAAACTTGCATTTATGAAGCACGTGCACAACCTCGATCAATCTCCCATTTGATTCTAGCCAGCTGCCAAGCGCCCTCACTGAATTTTTACCCATGTTGATCGGATCAATAAGACTCAATAAGCAATTCTATTGGTTTACTAGGAGCAAGGAGCTACTAGTAGCTCCTGGCATTACTACTAGTAGCAAGAATGTTACTAGGAACAAAGGGCTTCGCTACTAGGAACAAGGACGCTACTAGTAGCTCCTGGCATTACTACTAGGAACAAGAAGCAACTAGTAACAAAGCGCATCGGTACGAGGAGCAAGGACGGTACTAATAAGCAATTCTAATGGTTTAGACTTTTCGATCTGTGTGAGGCCGGTGCGATGAATACCTGGTCTTCTCGAATCGATATACTTGAATCATCTTGAATCATCTTGAATCTATATACAAGGATGGTCTCATATTGCCGGCGTTTCATTTCTGGGAAGTGCTGAGCTGGTGGCTTGAATCATGTGGAAACCTCAATGCTTCAGTGTTTTTTGAGTGCACATCCTCCTAGTAGCCTAATGTAGCCTACCAGCCAGTCCACGTAGCCACGCCTTTGCACCTCGGGGAAACGACTCTCCACATAGGCGACCCTACAGTCCAGGAGTGTTTGCGTGGGATCCATGCAACTAACCTCGACTTAGTGTATGGAGTGTAGAGGGTTCTGCTCAATTCCGATTGCAGGATTTATGATGCTTTGGTGAGCCCATTTGATGAGTCGTGGCCCAAGTCAACTACTTAGCGGATTTTCACATTTGGCCATGCGAGGTGTCGACAGGTTCACATGGTTGTAAAGGGCTTGGTTGGCCTCGCTCCGGGTCGTTGGGAAACCTAGCTTCGCCGCCTTGAGAGTTGTGAGCTGATCCACGACATTGTACGACATCTGCCGTGCGCTCCACACGGACCAAAGCTTGTTGGATGCAAAGATCTCACGCTTTACGTGGCAGAGTGGCAGGGCCCTTGATTGCTATCCACACCAAAAACAAGGAACATATGCTTGTTTCCGCCCAAAGCTATCTTGATTTGAGGTCTTCATGGTTGGGCTCTTACTGTAGTCACTTGCTGGCTGAGCTTTTTCGATTCACTTTGCCGCTCCGATGTCCCTGCAGCATCAATGAGCGTCAAGGATCCACAAAATAGCTGTTTTGTTACTAGTAGTAAGAATGCTACTAGTAGCGATGCCAGGAGCCCCTAGTAGCGTCCTTTGCTCCTAGTAGTAAGGCCAGGAGCCCCTAGTAGTGTATGTTTGTTGCTGTGTTCTTGAAATATTGAAAAAAATCATATCCTATTTGATTATCTTTCTGCAACTCCGGTTCAAGGAAAGCCACGACACTGCAGCCTGTGATCGGTATGGCCGTGCCTGAAGCCTAAAAACCCGCTGGTGCCTGACCCACGGCTTTAACTTGACCCTGGCATGATCAAAATCAACGTGGTGCAAGATATGCAAAGAAGTTTTGCTAAGTTCATCCGTGAAAATGAGCCATCCAATCATGCCCTGAAAATCCCTCAATTCTTGTATGCTTACAGCGTACTATGGCACTATGACATACTTTGGTTTCGGTAAGGTGCCTGCAGCCGTCCACAACGGGAGGTCTTTCTTGCCAGAGGGCGCAGAGGCCCGAGTTTAAAGTCACGGGTATAGATGGTTTGAAAGTCCGACACTGGACTACCGGCCAACTAAACCCATATTGACAAGCATTGTCCGATGGGCGTTCATCCAAGTTCTCTTCGAACATGACGACTTGCTGAGTCAAAAAGAAGCTCCGCTTCGTCGCAGGAATCGGGTGATGCCTTCCAGCAGGCTGCTCCCTGAGACACTTTATAGTCAGCTTGCAGGAATCGAGTGTGTCACCAGTGTGTTAAATGAAATCACGACGTCGTACGACCAAGTCACAGTTGGGACACTGACCTTTACACTTGGCAGGGACTGTTGGTGGCCCACTAATGTCCACTGTGTTGTTGATATACACCCGTCAAAGCTCGTCAAGTTGATCCTGTGATGCTAAGGTGGGTGGATCGATGCCATATCCCGATGAAGAAGAGGCAAGAGGATGAGCTAAGAATAAGTCAATGGAGAGTTGAAGAAGGAGGAAACGACGCGAAAGGGAAATGGAAGGGAAGAAGAAATGCGGCCACTAACCAGTTTCATCCTTGGGGTCTGTTTGTTTTGGCATGTCAGTTCATTTTGGAGGAGGTGGCACCCCAGAAAACCACCCAACCAATCGCGCACGTCAAACCTTTCGAGCCCAAGCCAGGCAATCTGTGCAATTGAGTCATTGGCACAAGCGTAAGTACGGGTGCTTTTCTGTCAAATTCTTCACTGCTGCGCATTGCCAAGCTCCCCTTTCTCCCACGTCTACTCATAGTCTTCACATTGCGCACATTGACATGTCTTCACATGTTTTCACGAATCATCAACAGCTCCCCATGCGCTCTCCATCATTGCTAGCAGCCTGCATGTGGATTCTGCAAGGCTTTGGCCTTCGCAATATCATGAAAGGTAGCCTTGGAAGAGCTGCCGGGAATTCTCTTTGAGGGGAAGAAAGGCGGACGACTTAAGACTTTTCCTGGTGGCTTTTGGCTTCTGTGGCTTTTGCTGTTTCTGGCTTCTGTGGCTTTTGGCTTTTGTGGCTTTTGGTTTCTGTGTGGGTTTTGTGGCAGTGTTCATTGCGGCGCAGGCGCTGCGCCCTCCCGCTCTTTATGAGCATTGTTTTTTTTCGTTTGTCTTTCCCTCTCTCTTTTCTTAGAGAGGGGCCTTCACTTTGAGAATGGAGCGCGCGGTGCGCTCTCCCCCACACCCCCTCCCACTCTTTTGATGTTCAGCGGACATTTCTATCAAGATGCCTCTTCTATACCGAAATCTCTACTTTTTGTGACTTACCTATTGATTTCTCTAGTGGATTCTGTTTTAAAGAACTTTTCTATTCAAAATATCTACTTTTGATGCACTTTTCTAGTCAACATCTCTACTTTTGATAACTTTTCTGCTGAAACATGTTTGATGAATTGTCCACCGATTTCTTTGCTCTTGATGACTTTGCTAGTCACAATCTCTCATTTTTACCCATCACAATCGCAACTTTTGATAACTTTTCTGGTAAGATCGCTATTTTTTATGACTGTTATATTGAAATATATATTTTGATGAGTTTTCTATTGCATTCTTTGCTTTTGATGACTCTTCTAGACATAATCTCTACTTGTAATGCCTTTCCCATTGAGAACCACACAGACCACCAAAAATAGAAATCCCAAATTAAAAAACAACAAAAATCCCGATCAATGTCTCGACCCTTCCTGTGGACGTTTGGTGGCTTCGGTTGGCTTTTGGTGGCTTGCGTTAGCTTTTGGCTTCTGTTGGCTTTTGGCTTTTGGTGGCTTTTGTTGGTGGCTTCGGTTGCTTTTGGTGGCTTCTGTGTTGGCTTTTGGCTTTTGTTGGCTTTTCTTTTCCTCTTGCCTTTTCCGTTTCCTTTTACCTTTCATGTCATGTCCTTTTCCCTTTCCCTTTCCTTGTCCCTTTTCCATTTCCTTTTGTGTTTACCCTTTTCTTAATCCCTTTCCTTTTCCCTTTCCCTTTCCTTTTCCTTGCCCATTGCTCGTCCTTTTCTTTTTCCGTTTCCTTCTCTTTTCCTGTTCCTTTTCCCTTTTCCTTTATAAGACAGCAGCCAAGAGCACAAAAAGAACAGATCCAAACCAAAAAGAGTAATTCCAAAATAAAATCCGGACCCCAATTGATATCTCTTCCCGGATGTGGGTGTGACTACGCCCTGGGCTGCGCCTCATCAATTCTGTTTACGCCAAACGCGATGTTTGCAATGCCTACCAGGACAATAGCCAAATTGCTTGGCCCTTCGAGCCTTTGTTGGCAGCACTGAAAACATGCTGTTTGCAGTATGAGAGGACGTCATCCTTATTTTAATTGGAACGTATTCCATGTATTTGTGCTTCCCATTTCTGTTCTCCCATCAAAGACATTGATAGGACACCTTACTGTGGCAAGAACGAGCAATCATATCAGCAGCAAGAACACAACTTGGTGCACGATCCTTTTGGATTTTAGAGCCTTTGATGTTATTGCCAGTGTTGCCTTCAGTGTTGGCCTTCAAGTCATTTGGAGACACATATCCCCATCATATCCCGATACTGTATGCCTTGAAATTCAATCCTGTCGAATCCTTTGTGCAGGTGACACAGAATCCTTTTGCCGCCCGCAGAGCTGCTCTAGGCGGTGCAGTTTGAGACATCACAGAATCCATGCACATGTCCAGTCTTCCAAATCTCCGTCCTAGACATGGGAAACAGAGGACTGGTACTGGTGATGACTGCACCGGGCATTCCTATGCTGCTCCAGGGTCAGGAGGTGAGGGCTGGTGAGGGAGACTGAGATCGTATTAGATCACATTCTTTTTCACATTCACTCACATTTTGTCAGCCCCTATTAAGCGTAAACATATTGAACATTATGCATGCTGTCGATTTTGGCATCAATACTTGCGCACGCATTATAACATAATGAATAGAGGGAATGTACCATAGTGTCAACTGGTTTGCTACATGTTTTTCTTGCACATTTAACCTGAACTCAGAGTGTTTTGAGTGACGCAACTCGCAAAAGGTAGCTTTAGCAAACATGCACTGGGGTCAAATGAACCTGACATTCCGCAAATAGAGCGACCCCTCAGTTCCTGTAGTGTCCAGCCATGTGCACTCACTTTGACCTGGTGAGCTCACTTCGCACCCTTGCTTCAACATTTGCTGCCAGTGAGAGAGCGCAACGTTCACCTATGCAAATCTCTGATTATTTTGTTGCTTCTTTCCACTCGGCTTCTTTCACTTCAACATCACCAGTTTGCCTGGATTTGCTCCAAAGCCCTCCAACACGCAGTGCCAGCGCTACTTCTGCCCTCCATCACGAACGCCAGCCGATAGGCTAGGTGAGAGTTGTTTAGCGAACGAAGTGAGGAGAGTAAGGGCAAGCGGGGTGAGGTCTTGGTGAAACGTCGATGATGCGCAAGCTTAATGGTTAGTATAATTTGCATTTGGAGTCAGAATGGATGGAAAAGGAGAGAGTGCTAGAGACAGAGGGAGAGGGAGAGCGAGAGAGAGAGAGAGACAGACAGACAGACAGACCGACAGACCGACAGACCGACAGACCGACAGACCGACAGACCGACAGACCGAC